TGATTTTCTGTTATTGAATGTGCATGAAGTAAAATGATTCCGAGCAACTTTGCCGTTTTTGTACACGAAACAAATGGAACTCTATTGTCATCATACTTTCGGCCACTATAACTGTGTTGCTAAATGTGCTAATCAGTTCTGATGTGCAATCCTTGCTTCGGATCTGCTAAAGAAATATGTCTGTTCTGATTGCGGTAGACAGTCACAGAAATTCAACGATTAGTTAAAGCATTTATAAATTTGCTGTGGTTACAACCCACATGAACGCAGCAAATTATGTCATGCTCAAGCTGAGTTTCAATGGTGATAATTCAGACAGTGCAAAGGCTGTCAAGCTTAGTTGAGTTAGACACAGTTATTGGTAAATAATGTCATTTGAGAAACTAATGCCTTATAATTACAAAAAGTAGTATTTAGTTGAAACAGTGATTAACATTTTGTCAATTGATCGCGCCGTGGCACATTTAAAGCTTTGAATTTCGAGCGTTAAAAAAAACGATTCATATGTTAGGCACATTACAGCTGAGGGTCTAGGCTTGACTTTACTACTGCTTAACCAGCTCGGTTTCGTTCAAGAGCAATTTTAGTTATATATGACACTGACAGTTTAAGTCATCTATTGCAAACAGTATTCTTGTGCTTTGATAGCGCTGAGGTGCAAGCATTAGCCAGAAAAAATAGGACTAATTTTGCATGACTATCAGAATTTGTGACAACGAAAAAAACCAGAATTAGTTTTTATCAAGGATGGTCTTATAACATTTTAGAAGCGCTTTTATGAGTTTGTGCTATTTAAATGATGTTTAGCTGTTGCTTTTAAGAAACCTTTGGTTGTCCAGAAATAAAAAGTTTGAGATTACCAGAGCGTAAAACATCTAGAAGAAATTTATGATTCTTCTGGCCGGAAAACTGTCGTTTTAGAAAAGTTTGACGATATAATTTGAGTGCTTATTTTAAAAGTTTTTTATATCTAAGCAATTCTCACGAAATGTTTGACCATTACACGAATTAGATAACTGTTGATATATTTTTTCACCGTGTAGTATTTGAAGTTTAACTTCATTGTTATTTTTAATGTTAAACCTTATTCTGCATTCATTGGCTTTCATTTTAAATCGCTCAAGTAATCCTTAACCGTAGATCAGATTAGCAGAATGAAATAAGGTTTAAAGACGTGAATTTGCTCAAATTTGTAACCAACATATCTCTTCCTAAGCACAATTAATTTTGAAAGCCACTGTTCTGTCATCCTTTTTCTTTTGCTACGACTAATCTGCAGACAAAAGAAAAAAAGTCAACTGCCTATCTGTTAGGCATTCTTTTGATTATTGTTAGCGAAAACAAACTAACTACAAAGTAGACAATGGATTATTGACTAAAGGTAAACTCTGTTAAATATTCTCTCAGTGTACATTTGAAGTTGGACTGCTTTAGCATTTATTTATGGGTGTTTTGTAGAAACCACACTCGTGGTGCCGGGTTAGCTCAGTGGCAGAGCGTCTGTCTCGTAAACAGAAGGTCGCAGGTTCGAACCCTGCATTCGGCAGGCAGTTACTTTTGCACGCTGACTGAGTGCCTACACTTTCAGCAGAGTTGCCGGCAGCATTGCACAACAATGCTGACTCGTCATCGCAGCCAAAAGTCGGCCATCATTTCCCAAAAAAATGGCACCTCTTCATATGGTGAATAAGAAACAGCTTTTAAGTTAATGCAGAAGGTCTGCGCTGTTTAGTGATTTGACCATACATAGATTTATCTGTTTAAAGCATTTTATTCGACAAAGCTATCGTTTCTGCAACCCTTTTATTTTTTCTATTGTCCTTGAGTGTAGGTGTAAGAAATTTGAAAATCAATTCAAAAAACTGGAAAAAGATTTAAATTTGAGATACGAAACAGCAACATTTCTAATACATTTTTTTAATTAAAAAGTAAAGGCGAGCAAAATGTCAATGATAAACGAAGGGCATGGTTGTTTAAGTTATATTCGTATTAAACCTTAGGGTCGATTTAAATTTAATATATACTATTTCTACATAAGATAGAATAGTGAACTAACAGAAATATTTGTTGAAAAAATGTTATATTTCTCTCTAGGAAATAATAGCGATTCTATATTTGAAATTCATATAGAATAGTGTTCAAAATTTTTAGCAAAGAACGGTCAACGACTAACAACTGTAAAGCATATGCACCATTAAATTATGAAATTTCCGCAGACTATTATTATCAGAATAGCAGTCTTCAATCTTTTTCTTTCTTCTTTTCTTCTCAATATTCAACAAAGGTCGCACTCAACTACGCTTTTTTTTGATTTTATAGTTCCGAAACGGCATAAGGCAACGCACTTGGCAGTTCAGGTGCTTTAGAATATAACCAAAGTTTCTTAAAAGTAGCTTAGCGACTAGAAAACAAATTGTTACAAACTGGATATTATTCGTCATATGACCATTTAACTGCAGGTTTAAAGAGCTTTAGAACCATAAAGCGAAATACCCTCTACTAAAACATAGCCATAATTAGAAAAACATAGGTCAAGTGAATCTTACTAAGTAAACCATAAACTCGGAATTTAAAAAAATATTCAATTTTCTGGTGGGCTATCGTTTACGGCTGTTCCAAATGCGCAAATTCACTTTCCTTCCATCTGAAAGCTAATTAATTAGTTCATCTCATATCCTGCGCTCATCATTTTAAACAAAACCTTTATTAGTATCAGAAGCTAATGTTTTTTGCCGATTTGTCAAAAACCTAACAGGTTTATAAATAAAATATCATCACTTTACTTTAGGTTTAGAAGAACACTTTAACTTTTAACTCTTAATTTCAGCAAGTATCAACTACTAAATCCGTTTCTACTGTGCATTAGAGCACGGAAACTCGCGACACTCAGCCCCAGCTCCCTCAGACGGAGGGATTGTTCACCTTCCTGTTCGCAGTTTTATGGAGCAAACAATTCCAAAACAGCCTCTTGGAACCACATTGCTTTTCGTTATCATGTATGCGTACAAAAATGAAGAGGCTAAAAAAACTCAAAGAAAAACAACAGGCACCGAACCACATAGAATCATTGAAGAACGAATTCCAAATGATTTCATACTTGAGTTAGAAAGAACTGAAGATTTTCAAAATATTCTTTTCACCCATTTGTTTCAGTTTCTAGTAGTATTCCTGAGAGTAGAAATAGCCGACACCGAATTTCTGTCATAGACAACTTGTTTTCCTTCTTCCCCTCTCCTTCTTCCTCATTTCGCCTCATTTCTTTTATAAATACGAATATAAA